ACAAAGGTTCAGAGGTGAACTAAGCTCAAGATCACTTCGGCTACACACCGAGCAAGGAACAAAAACACGCAAGCATCACTTGAACAAAACAAGGCAAGGCAAGACTTGCAAAACAACATAACAAGACAGGATCATGCATGAATGTATGCAAGTATGACAAGAGTAAGGTGGGGGTTGCTACAGATATACCTCTTCTTGTTATGAAAATATACAAATTTAAAAGTTATAATTAAGATAAATATACAATTTTATTATTAAATGTGAAGTGAAATGATATTTAACAATAATTGATATGATATTTCTGTTATTAATCCAATAATTTAAGTTATATTTTCTTTTGGTTTTAATTTCATAACTAAAAATATAATATGAATATAATATGCACACGGATTTTTAGTCTTCAAGAATAATAAAGTTTTAGAATATTTTTAACCTTTCATCATTTCGTTTTAATTTTTTTGGTCTAATTTGATTTTAAATTTGAATAAAAAATTGATTTGATATGAATTACTTTAACTTTTTCATTAAATTTTTTTATCAATTTTTAAAAGAACTTTCATTCTTATCCCATTTTTTTTTTTTTTGGGTTTTCATCAATTTTGATGGAAAAAAAACAATAATTTCCAATGCTTCATTATAGCGATCCCGGTTTTTCCTCGTCATGTATTGTGTTCTTGACTCGGGTCTAGTGGTTGTTGTTGTTGTTGTCTTATTCTTGTTTCCATCCTTTAAATTTTTTGTATTTGAGTTTTGGGATGTGTTGAGTAAGTTTGGAACAGGTTGGGTGTGATTTGAAACAACGATCTTCTCCGGTCGAAGGTGGCGAGCTGGCACGACTATGTGAATGCTTGGATGTGGCTGGATGCTGTGGCGGCAGAGAAGATTCTGGCAGTTTGCCGGGAGGAGGTGGTGTTGGAACTTTATTTTAAGTTTTAAAATTTAAAGAGTTAATTATATTTTTCATCTCCTGTAATTTTATATAAATTTCACTTTAATTGTTATAGTTTTAATATCAATAATTCGGTCGTAGAATTTAAGTCTAATTTTAATTGATTAATCTATCAAAATTAGATATTAAAATTAATAAATTTGAGACACTTATCAATTTTTTAAAGCCATCAAGTTAATAACAATTTTGAAATATTTATCAATTTCTAAGGTGTATATATAGACAAAATTAACAAAAATTAGGATGAAATAACCAAACTGAAACTAGACTGAGAGTGCAGAGATTAAATTATTCAAATTAAAATTATGGCGACTAAAAGAAATTTGAGTCAAACCAAGAGTGAAAAGTGTAATTAATCTAAATTTAACATAAAAAAAAATTAAATTTCACTCTAATCTCTATAATTTCAAATTGTGCAGTTTAATTCCTAAACTTTAAAACATAATTTCAATGTAGCCCTTTCTATTTAAATTAAAAATTAAAATTAATAATTTTTAAATATTTGCCAATTTTTTAAGATATGTACGTAAATAAAATTAATAAAAATTTAAATATAAAGAACAAATTAAAATATAGTGACTGTACATTTTAAATTATATTTTAGAGTTGTATTTTTACACGAGGGGAGAAAAATATAATTTTAATATGTTTAACTTGTTGCAGCTCTCAATACTCTAATTTTGATGCATAAATTCCCAACAGGTGGTGGAGTGGGACCGGTATGTGACGGATGTAGGGGAGAAGGTGGCAGAGCTGTTGTCGGAAGGGCTCGAATTGGCGGCCGGAAAACTGAAAGATGAGGGGCTTCTAGGTTCGAGGTGGATTGCGGGAGTGTACTATCCTTATTGTCCCCAACCCAACTTGACATTTGGGCTTAACCCTCATACGGATCCTGGAGTGCTTACTATTCTGGTGGAGAACCAGGTGATGGGTTTGCAGGTTAAGCATGAAGGAGAGTGGGTGGATGTGAAGCCCTTGCCTGGTTCCTTGATTGTTAACATTGGAGATGCTCTCCAGGTGACACTCGTACACATGCCCACATATTATGTTTATATGTGTGTGTATATAAATTATAAGATAAATTATATCGGTAGTTTTTATATTTTGTCACATGTGTCATTTTAATCACTATATTTTTAATTGATAGTCATCGTTTGGGAACATACATTATAAAAAAATAAGATTTTAGAGATCAAAATTTAGGGATAAAATTATTTTTAAGGTCAAAATAATTTTGTTACAAAAAGTGTCGTTATTATATTTTTAGTAACAAAAATTGGATATTAGTGATAAATTATTATCCTTTTGGGACCAAATTTTTTTTTCTAAAAAAAAAAATCATTTTGAGACCAAATTATTTTGTCCCTAAAAGTCTATTTATTAGTGACATTTTTAAAATTCTGTCGCTAAAAGCCTTATTTTTAACTTTTCGAGACGACTTTTTAACGACTATTTTCTTACGATGAAAATTGATTCCTAAATGCCTTTTGCAATAAAATTTTTACTTTTAGAGACCAAAATATTTGGTCTCTAAAACTCTTATATGTTGTAGTGATGCCATTTTAGTATTTTTTTTGCTTTTTATGAAAATATATGCAAAAAATAGAGAGAGTGATGTGATAATTTATAATGATTTTTTTATGAGTCGTGTAAATTTTAGTCTAATTGACAATACTAGTTTGGATTTTTGACAAAAAAATTATCATTGAGGTCAATTCATTTGGTTGAGCAAGGTTTTAATTTTTTTCCTAAAATCATGACATATGTTATTCATGTACGTATTTTTCATAAATAAAAATAAAAAAACGATAATGGTTGTAGTCATTTAGACCAAATTGAGATGAAATAAAAAAAAATTCATAATAAAAATCGAACCAATTGAAATTATATGAATCAAAATGACACGATAGTTAGAGTATAAGGACTACTTGTTTTATTTATCCTAAATAAAAAAGATGAGTATTCAGTCTAGTTCATAATCTAGATTGAAGGGTGTTTTTTGGACTCGTGGGATCCGCCACGGACCCCATTTCAATGATCTGAACTGTTCATTTTATCGGGCATTTTGTATATTTCACATACACAAAAAATTAGATCGATCCGATAATCGTAACATATTCAATTTATCATGTTTATCACCAAAAAAAAATGACAATAATTGTGTTTTAAAAATAAAGAATCTTTTTTTTTACAAATGTGATAGATTTAATATGTTATGATTATCAGATCGATTTAATTTTTTATGTAAATGAAACATATGAAATACTCGATAAAATAAATAATTTAAGTTATTGACATACTACTCGTTGTGAGCCCTACAAATTAAAATCCATTTTCTTTCACGCTAGTAAAGTAAATGGATGCCCACGGAGCGTCATCTAATTAAAAAAAATTAAATTAATTAGATAAAGTAATAATATGATTGCTTTATATTTGCATTAAAAAAAATAAACTACTTTTAAAATTATATTTTACAGTTGTTAAGAAAAATATAATTTGATTACTTATTGTAAATATCTGATTAATTTAATGAATAATTTAAATCACCTAAATTATGTTAACGTGTGTCCACAACCACACAAACTAGGCCATTCGGTCCAAAAATTGTAGATAGATATGACAAACTTTCCATAATTCCATTTTCAAAATATAGATATATACATGGGTGTAGATTGTACTTTCAAACTAGGCCATCCAGTCCAAAAATTGTTTGACCGAGTGACAAGCCTCCTCCAAGAATTGTAGATAGATATGACAAACTTTCCGGTAGCGTTTGGTAACATTTAATAAAAATTTTATAAATTAATTTTTATTTATTTTTAGAAAAACATAAATTATAAACGCGTTTAGTTTGAAAAAAATGTTCAAAAAAATTTAAAAACATAAACTAAAAAATGTGTTTGTTCAGGCCTAAAATATTTATATTTATTTTTTATTATTTATGACAATGGGATCACACACATTGTAATTGAAAAAAAAATAATTAAAAAAATAATTGAAAAAAAATTAATTGGAAAAAAAATTAATTGAAAAAAAATAATTGGAAAAAAAATTAATTGAAAACAAATATTTGAAAAAAAAATTATTTGAAAAAAAAGATTAATTGAAAAAAAATTATTAGAAAAAAAAAATTATTTGAAAAAATTATTTTAAATTTTTTTTTTTGAAAAAAAAATAATTGAGAAAAAATTATTTGAAAAAAAAAATTGAAAACTGAAAACGTAAACTCATTTTTTAAGTTTACGTTTTTTGCTCAAATTTATAAATTGAGACAACTATTTATAAACTAAAAAAAATTATCAAACAAGCTTTTATGACAATTTTTTTAATTTTTATAAATATAAATTAAAAATTAAAAACGGAATAGTTACCAAACAGATCCTCCATAATTGCATTTTCAAAATATAGATATATACATGGGTGTAGATTGTACTTTCAAACTAGGCCATCCGGTCCAAAAATTGTTTGACTGAGTGACAAGCCTCCAAAAATTGTAAATAGATGTGACAAACTTTCGATTATTGCATTTTCAAAATATTGATAGAGAAAATGTTTGGGACTTTCATAAAAGAGGACTCCAATGATCTCTATTGATATATTGATTATTGATGTGTTTAATTTTTTTTTGAAAGTTGTGTCTGACAGTTACATGAATGGTTCAGATCATTTTAAGAATTATGGGGATTGTGCTTTGTGGGAATCTCTATCATTACTGTATAGATATGTACATGGGTGAAGATTGTACTTACATGGGTGTAGATTGTACTTTCAAGAGTGCGCCAATGGCACATCATTCTCATGCAAAAAGTTTACATATGATCAACCAAAATTTAGGTATTTTACATATGGAAAATGCAATATATTAACAAATTTTTAAGTTGATTTTCTTATTATCACAGAAAAAAAGTTTGAGTCTGACGTATATTTATTAATATTTTTGATTCTTTTATTTTTATATTTAGTGATAAGAAAATGATAATAACTTCACATATTTCAGATTATGTCAAATGGAGAGTATAAAAGCGTAGAGCATCATGTATTGGTTAATTCCATGAAGGAATCTCGAATATCAATTGTTGAATTCTTCAGCTTGTATAAGAAGGATGAAATTCGTCGCTACAGACCATTTCCAGAGCTTTTAACAGCCAAGAAACCAGCTCTGTATCGAAACTTCTTATACAAAGAATTTCATGATAATTTCTTCAGCAAGGGTTTGGACAACAAGTCTTTTGTGGAGAAACTTATGATACCCCATGAATGAGTGAATATGAAATGTGAGGTGTTTTCATGTCTGTCACTGTGTGTTTGTGTTTGTTAGTGTAGATGGGGATGATGTGAACTACTAGATGCATATATTCACTGTGATAATACTCACTGTGTTTTAATATTTCCGACTCTTATTCAAGTTCTATGAAAACAGTGTTTATTGTTAGAGAGTTGTCACGGTCACTCTAAATCACCTAATTTAAGGGTAAATTAATTATACCACTGGACCTGAACCTAATTTAGAGATCCTAAGTCTAAGCTTGAGCCTGAACCTAAGTTTGAAATTAACTTTTACTTGAAATTTTGTCCGAACTTTTGGCCAACTCAAGTCGTCCAAATTTAAACATCCAAAAAAAAAAAAAAATCCTAAACTAATGTATTGCACTTTTTGAAAAGAAAAAGAAAAAATATCTCCATAAGTGAAAAAATATCTCCATAAGTACAAAAACAAACCATAATAAAAACGTTAGTTTGAGTTATTTGTACCGAACAGTAAAATGTATTACATTGTAATATGGTGAGAAAATAATCCCTAATTTATAATATTTCACTTTTATTATATAGAATTTATATATATTAATTAATAATAGAATTCAATTTACTTGAGTTGTGAAAACACTTGGCCAAATTAAATTTGGGTTGACAATTTTCAACCCAATTAGATTTGATGACAAATTTGAAATTATGCTGCTTAAGTGTTAAAAAATTTTAAAGTTGGACTTGAGTTGCACAAGTTAAGCCTGTTTAAGTTGTAACCCCTACTCTAAATGTTATGATTGATTGTGAACTTTTTTTGTGTAGGCAAATTGATAATTCTGTTGTGGAAAGTTTTGGAGTAGGGGGAAAAACATGCATAACGTCTAGGATTTATCCAACTCTAGCAGTATTCAAGGACGCTCATTTATATGCATTCAACAATGGCACTGAGACAATCACTATTGAGAATCTGGATGTTTGGAGCATGAACTCTCCCCTAATGAATTAAGTAGAGATGTAAAATAAATAAATAAATAAGACAAGGTTTAATTAAACTAAGATCCTCTCAATTATTGGTAAATACCATTTTACCTCTTTATTTATGAACATATACATATTGATCCTTCCAATTATAAAAATTGAGGTGGTCTAGAGGGCATGAATGTGATATATTTTTAAAGTAAAGAAAATCAAAATGTACGATTTCATAAATAAGGGGAGAAAGTGATACTTTAATTAATTCATAATAGTGTAGTTCATCACTTTTATGTTAATGTTTTCTAATAGTATCATTTTCTTTTTGATTGTTACTCTCTCTATTTAAAATCAACCTCATAAAACAAATCAACAAATAAGTAATAATTTTTCAAATTAATTGTTACAAAAAAATTGCAATTGTTTTAAATTAGGGCAAATTACACTGTTAGTCTTGTAATTTAACCCTTATGTCATTTTAGTCCCTATAATTTTAATTGAATCAATTTTGACTATAAATTTTGTATTTTGTTTCAAATTAGTCCAAATGTTAACATTTTTTTTTTATAGTAAATGCGCACATGAATGGCATACATCATGTTTTTAGAAGTAAAATTATAGGTGTGAATAATTTAGTGACTTGACCTCGATCAATTCAATTAAAATTTTCTATACAAAATTCTAACAATATTATCAATTGAACCAATTTATAAAATAAAAAAAAATTATTGATTTGAAATTATTTTTATAAATATACACTGAATTATTTTCCTTTATTTTGCTACATTTATTTTGATCGCAACAGTGTACCAGGGGCGTAACCAAGATTTTCAATCGAAGGGGGCCAAAATATGTCATCTCCTTCAAATTCTTTCTATATATATATTTTTTTTACAACTATACAATTTCAAAAGCCCAATTGAGGTATAGGTTTTATCACATTACTTATTATTATTTAATATATTTTGTCTTGATTTTTTTTTTTATATTTGAAACTTATAATATTCATAGTGTCAATTATATAATGGTGTAAGATATTCTTGTGCTCTTAAAAAATATTATAATTTTGCTGATTTATTATTATTATTATTATTATTTTTTTTTTTTTGTGAAGTGTTACTTATAATTGATATTAAGAAAGGCAGAGAAAAGTATCGAAAAAATAATGTGTGATTCAAATTTATAATATGTAAATCCCACTATACAAGAACTAAAAATCTAGACCACATATTATTTTTCTTTGATATTTTTGTGCTTGAATTATTGGTCTAACTATAAGGAGTAGTTGAAAAATATTGTGATAAGTAAAAAATCAAGAGTAGATTTCAAGGGACAATAAAAAAATTATTAAAATTTTGAAGGGATCAAACTAAATGTACTTAAAATTTAGGGATAATATACTAATCATATTGTAAATATTCAAAATTCTATAGAATTATAAATAGAATTTTTCTATTTGGACTCTCAGTCCTTTAACAGTTCCGACGCTGAATATACTGCCTTTTTTTTTTTTGATTGGCAATGTATAGTAAATTTTATTAATGAAATTTAAGGTACAAGATATAAAGACAAATATCAATAAAGAAGGTGACAGGACATCATAGCAAACAAAATCATGTATTGTAAATTATTGTACCAAAGAAAGTCCCACATGGGATCGGTAGGAGTGTATAAATGGCCAGCAACTCGTAGGCGACCCAAAATCCGCCCGCTACCCCGGGGTGGGCTTGGGCCCAACCCGAGACCCTAGGCCAAGCCCTAGGCCATCATTTTGAAGCCTCGCCCGTGGGCCTAGCCCATCGGCCCACTTAAGGCCTACTCACCGGCCCAGTCCATCGACCAACCCAAGGCTCGAATACTTCCTGGGCCTGGGCCTAATTTTCTGACCCGTGGACCTGGCCTGAATTTTGGCGAGAGCCCGCGAGGTCCGATATGGGCTAGTCCGAGCCCAGGCCCAGTTGAGCCAAGCCGGGTCAAATTTACACCCCTAGGGATCGCGCTATCCCTTTTGAAACAGTAGCTCCAACAACTAATTATTGAGGGTTATTTTGAGAATTAATTATTTTAGTTAATTTTTTATAAAGAGATACGTAAAAATATGGAGAAAATAATTTAAAAATTAATAATAATTTTTAAAATTTTTGATTAAAATGTTGATTCCAAAATCTAAAATGTTAGGTTTCATGAAAAAAAAAATATGAGAAAACATTTTAGGAATCTTTTAGAAATAATTTAGTATGGTAGATAACAAAATAAGAAGAAAAAAAAAAAGCTAAGCCCTTGTTTGGTTTTATTTTCATAAACTTGGTTTAGAAAAAAAATTTCTAAAAAATTAAAAATTAATTTGGTAAAATAAATTTAAAAAATATATTATTTTTATATAAATTTATCTTTTGGAAGGCTAAAAATAATTTTTAAAAATATTTACATATTTTTTTGATATTTATTTTTATCACATTACTATTCCTTTTTTGAAAGAAAAAAAAATTTCTGAAATTTTTTTCTGAGAAACAAACAAAACATAGAGTTTTGAAAAAAAACACTTTTGCTCCGTTTGGTTTAGTTTTCATAATCAATTTTGAAAGACAATTTTTTAAAAATAGTTACAAAATTAAAAAAATTTGTTTGATTGTATGCTTTAAAAATAGTTTTTAGAAGCAAAATAATATTCACTAAGAGAGATTATGTTGGAACAATCTTCTGTGTAAATAAAATAACTTTCTTAACTTAAACAAAATAAATAAATAACATACCAGATTTATTTATCGAACCGAAATAAAATTAAGACCAAGTCGAGTGTGTGACACTCTGTCCTTAAGACAGATTCGCCCCGCTATGGTACTTACGGTTGAGTGGCGTCTATCTCCCAGGATACGATCAATTCAATTAAAATTTTCTATACAAAATTCTAACAATATTATCAATTGAACCAATTTATAAAATAAAAAAAAATTATTGATTTGAAATTATTTTTATAAATATACACTGAATTATTTTCCTTTATTTTGCTACATTTATTTTGATCGCAACAGTGTACCAGGGGCGTAACCAAGATTTTCAATCGAAGGGGGCCAAAATATGTCATCTCCTTCAAATTCTTTCTATATATATAATTTTTTTACAAAAACTGCCACCAAAGAACCACCTAAGAATAACTCTACCATTTGAATGAATGGAATTCCCAAAACCACACTAGTTAAATATAGTTAAGGATAAGAAGATTACCACAATAAATCTCTTATCTGACTTGGGCGTCCCTCAGCCTTCCCCAACCTCTCTCTATTGTGACAACCGAAGTGCCATTCAAATTGCTCATAACACTGTCTTCCATGAACGGACCAAGCATATTGAGATTGATTGTCATTTCGTCCATCAGCATCTGCAATTTGGCTTTATCTCACTTCCTTCTGTCTCTTCAGCTCTGCAACTTGCTGACTTCTTCACCAAGACTCACACCACTGCTCGGTTTCGGTTCTTTCTTGACAAACTCTCAATGTTTTCTGCTAAAACACCTTGAGTTTGAGCGGGGGTGTGAGAATATGTGTTCTCCTAGGATTAGGAATAAGTGTCCTATATCTATTAGACTTCTA